GCAGTGAGTGTGTGAGGGAGCGGGTAGTGAGTGTGTGAGGGAGCGGGTAGTGAGTGTGTGAGGGAACGGGCAGTGAGTGTGTGAGGGAGCGGGCAGTGAGTGTGTGAGGGAGGGGGTAGTGAGTGTGTGAGGGAGCGGGTAGTGAGTGTGTGAGGGAGGGGGCAGTGAGTGTGTGAGGGAGGGGGCAGTGAGTGTGTGAGGGAGGGGGTAGTGAGTGTGTGAGGGAGCGGGCAGTGAGTGTGTGAGGGAGCGGGCAGTGATTGTGTGAGGGAGGGGGCAGTGAGTGTGTGAGGGAGCGGGTAGTGAGTGTGTGAGGGAGCGGGTAGTGAGTGTGTGAGGGAGCGGGCAGTGAGTGTGTGAGGGAGCGGGCAGTGAGTGTGAGGGAGCGGGCAGTGAGTGTGTGAGGGAGCGGGTAGTGAGTGTGTGAGGGAGCGGGCAGTGAGTGTGTGAGGGAGCGGGCAGTGAGTGTGTGAGGGAGGGGGTAGTGAGTGTGTGAGGGAGCGGGTAGTGAGTGTGTGAGGGAGCGGGTAGTGAGTGTGTGAGGGTGGGGGTAGTGAGTGTGTGAGGGAGCGGGTAGTGAGTGTGTGAGGGAGGGGGTAGTGAGTGTGTGAGGGAGCGGGTAGTGAGTGTGTGAGGAAGGGATGAGTAAGGTAAAACTATTACTTTGGATGGTAGTACAAATTAAGTATTTTTGACAATATATATACACGTTTTGTACTATTATTGTTACAGAGGGAGTGGGAAAGAAGCCAGCAACCAAAGTAACTTCCCTTAGGCCTAGTAGAGTGCATAAATATGCATTAATTATTAAAATAGGGCCTGAGATTGACTATGTTAGGCCTTGGGTTGATTGTTTAGGCCTAGATAAAGTTTATGGTTAGTCTTGGTTCACTTTTTGCTATGTTCTATACAATTCAATACTAAAACGTGAATACTATTTCTATATTCAATACTATTTTTTTGTTATAATAGTCCATGTATAATTCTTCCATAGCAGTTATAGGTCCTATCATTTTTGGCAGATGAATTACCTAACCTATATTCTTCAAAAATGAATTTCATTAAATAAAAATTGTTTCCCCCCTTGGGCTGGACGGTAGAGCGACGGTCTCGCTTCATGCAGGTCGGTGTTCAATTCCCGACCGTCCAAATAGTTGGACGCCATTCCTTGCCCCACCGTCTCATCCCAAAATCCTTATCCTGACCCCTTCCCAGTGCTATATAGTCGCAAGGACTTGATTAAGATTCAGCTACTCGGAACAGAAAGTTTCAAGTAGCACAGGCTATGGTGAGCCCGTAGTGGACTTACCTGGCACAGGAGCGGCAAGTAGCACGGGCTATGGCGAGCCCGTAGTGGACTTACCTGGCACAGGAGCGGCAAGTAGCACGGGCTATGGCGAGCCCGTAGTGGACTTACCTGGCACAGGAGCGGCAAGTAGCACAGGCTATGGCGAGCCCATAGTGGACTTACCTGGCACAGGAGCGGCAAGTAGCACGGGCTATGGCGAGCCCGTAGTGGACTTACCTGGCACAGAAGCGGCAAGTAGCACAGGCTATGGTGAGCCCGTAGTGGACTTACCTAGCACAGAAGCGGCAAGTAGCACAGGCTATGGTGAGCCCGTAGTGGACTTACCTGGCACAGGAGCGGCAAGTAGCACAGGCTATGGCGAGCCCGTAGTGGACTTACCTGGTACAGAAGCGGCAAGTAGCACAGGCTATGGTGAGCCCGTAGTGGACTTACCTGGCACAGAAGCGGCAAGTAGCACAGGCTATGGCGAGCCTGTAGTGGACTTACCTGGCACAGGAGCGGCAAGTAGCACGGGCTATGGCGAGCCCATAGTGGACTTACCTGGCACAGGAGCGGCAAGTAGCACAGGCTATGGCGAGCCCGTAGTGGACTTACCTGGCACAGAAGCGGCAAGTAGCACAGGCTATGGTGAGCCCGTAGTGGACTTACCTAGCACAGAAGCGGCAAGTAGCACAGGCTATGGTGAGCCCGTAGTGGACTTACCTAGCACAGAAGCGGCAAGTAGCACGGGCTATGGCGAGCCCGTAGTGGACTTACCTGGCACTGGAGCGGAGTTATAACTTTTTGCATTTGCCTAACTCCTGGGTATTTATTTACCGCGAGTTGAACAAAACATGCATGAGGTGCAAGGAAATCTTGTGACGGTGGGGCCGACTTGGGTTCATGCCAGCGCTTGCTAGGACTCTCCGCCCTGCCATTTTTCTCTCTCTAACGCTTGTTTACAACCCGTCCTCTCCAACATTCCCAACGTCACTAAACTGATGTACTAAATTGTCCGAACCTAACCTAACCTAACCGACGACCCGCAAATAGAAAACGGGACGTCACATCAATTTCGCGAGCCGTTATGCTATTTAGTTCATAACTTTTTTGACCTTTGGGGAGTTATGCGTTAAGACGCAATTCGTGAGGACGGGTTATCCGGTGAACCCATTACACAATCTTTATCTACACATAAAGTATCGTACACAGTCTTTATCTACACATAAAGTACTGTACACAGTCTTTATCTACACATAAAGTATCGTACACAATCTTTATCTACACATAAAGTATCGTACACAGTCTTTATCTACACATAAAGTACTGTACACAGTCTTTATCTACACATAAAGTATCGTACACAATCTTTATCTACACATAAAGTATCGTACACAGTCTTTATCTACACATAAAGTATCGTACACAGTCTTTATCTACACATAAAGTACTGTACACAGTCTTTATCTACACAGAAAGTACTGTACACAGTCTTTATCTACACATAAAGTATCGTACACAATCTTTATCTACACATAAAGTATCGTACACAATCTTTATCTACACATAAAGTGCTGTACACAGTCTTTATCTACACATAAAGTACTGTACACAGTCTTTATCTACACATAAAGTATCGTACACAATCTTTATCTACACATAAAGTATCGTACACAATCTTTATCTACACATAAAGTATCGTACACAATCTTTATCTACACATAAAGTATCGTACACAATCTTTATCTACACATAAAGTATCGTACACAATCTTTATCTACACATAAAGTACTGTACACAGTCTTTATCTACACATAAAGTACTGTACACAGTCTTTATCTACACATAAAGTATCGTACACAGTCTTTATCTACACATAAAGTATCGTACAGTCTTTACACATAAAGTATCGTACAGTCTTTATCTACACATAAAGTACCGTACTCAGTTTTTATCTACACATAAAGTATCGTACACAGTCTTTATCTACACATAAGGTATCATACACAGTCTTTATCTACACATAAAGTACTGCACACAGCACTTTCGTGTTTCTCTGCGACGTCTCAGTGAGCCATTATGCCACCAGATAAGATAATTATCAGCAGAAAGCACTAATCTTGAACCAAACAATAACATTGTGCAGGTGTTAACTCTCACCCTCATGGGTGCTATGTTACCATGTCTTAAAGTATTTACGTTTATTTATTCATATATTTCCCATCAGTACTAGTCACTGTTGACAGAAAACGTTGTAATGTCAGTGGTCAATACATGATGGTAAGCTTAAGTATCTTTAACCCTTTGTATCGTTTGATATAACAAAAAAACTTACGTCTAGGTCTTTATTTGCAAATGAAATGCATAAGATTTTGTTATCATTGGTGCACGGATTACTTGAAATACAGTAATATCAAACTGTATAATTCTCCGGTGCGCCCACGCTTGGGTTATTGTTTATAGTGATGGAGACCACATCTTGAGGAAGCCATAGCTGCTCTGGAGAAAGATCAACACTGGACACCAGAAATCATTCGACAACTAAGACGATTGTCATACCAGGAACGGTTGAGGGCCACAGGGCTAACAACGCTGCAAGCCAGACAGAACAGGGCGGATCTCATCGAAACATGAGGTCTGATAAAGACCTTTTGTGCCCCTCTGCAATGCTTTTTGCGCTACCGCTCACAGGATAAGTATGGGGTGCACAATAAACTAGCCGCTTGTGGCGGCAACAATCGAAAATTGTCACATACTGAACACTCTGGAGGATGCTGATCCAGACAATGTCTCCAAAAGGTCAGCTGTAACACAAACAAGGAGCAACGGCTTTAAGTTCAACAATCCACAATGTGGGACTGAAACAGGAGATGCCTTTTCACCCGCAGGAACCGCCTACCCGCCGAAGCAGTAAATGCCAAAAACTCTCAAATTTTAAAATCAAGCTCGAAGATTTTCGAGATTGATTTCTGAAGGGGGTGGCACGGGCATGAGTAGCCCCTAAGGTAAATTCAGTGTTTGAGAAAATTATATATATATATATATATATATATATATATATATATATATATATATATATATATATATATATATATATATATATATATATATATTAGTATATTTTGGTAGCAGTCTTTCCTGTAGACATATATTATTAAATATGACCGAAAAATTCGTTTTTTCGTTTTTTCGTCAATTCGTTTTTTCGGTCATATTTAATAATATATATATATATATATATATATATATATATATATATATATATATATATATATATATATATATATATATATATAATGTGTGTGTGTGTAATAGTATCGTCACCAGTAACCTCATTAATAACAATTCTCTCCCCATTAAGGGAATGTGGGCCGTGTTTTCATTCATTATCCCTGCAGTACCTGGCTGGCCACTGCTCCTAGTCCCGCGCTGCGTCACCAGAACAACCTTTACAACAATGTGCTTTAAGGCTTTTTTTACCCTGGCATTTTTTCTTCCTCATTAATGCTCACGGTGTTGATATTTCTCCACGTCCAGCCGTAAGACAAGCCTCATTAGTTTTTATATAACGATTTAAGAAGTTATTAGTACTTAATGATTATAAAATTAGCGTACATAAGATGATATAGTTTGATGTTTCTTGATTTTTTTTTGTTATGAATCACTTTCGACTTTCTCCAGTTACGAACGCAGCGAAGAATTGTTGTGCGGTACGACAAGTGCAGTGTTGTGGGTGGGAAGAGGCGGCAGCGCCATGCGAGTGACGGTCGTGTGAGTGTCTCTGGCGGGTGTCGGCCCCTCAATTCGTTTCCCTCATGTGATAACCAGCTCGCATTGTTCGTATATTCCCCAAATCCTGCAACATGTGACCGTAGATGTTGCTAAGGATCCTTGCTACACCAGCCCTTCATACCCCCCAGGTGAGTGAAATCAATATTGATGGGGAACAACATTTCCTTTGTATAATTTATATGCTTCATTTTTAGCGAACGCTTTTTTTTAAATGGCGTGACAACATGAGGTATTTTAAAGATGGCGACAATAATGGCGGAGTTTATACGAGGTATATTTAAATACCAAGTGGGGGGAGGGTAGGTTTTAGTGAATATAGGGCAAAGAATGTGGTTCCCAGCAAACTGGTTAGACAGCCTTGTGTCTCTCTGGGCTCCACCACCCTCCTCCCCCCTAGCGGGTCCTGACACCCCCCTAGCGGGTCCTGACACCCCCCTAGCGGGTCCTGACACCCCCCTAGCGGGTCCTGACACCCCCCTAGCGGGTCCTGACACCCCCCTAGCGGGTCCTGACACCCCCCTAGCGGCTCCTGACACCCCCCTAGCGGGTCCTGACACCCCCCTAGCGGGTCCTGACACCCCCTAGCGGGTCCTGACACCCCCCTAGCGGGTCCTGACACCCCCCTAGCGGGTCCTGACACCCCCCTAGCGGGTCCTGACACCCCCCTAGCGGGTCCTGACACCCCCCTAGCGGGTCCTGACACCCCCTAGCGGGTCCTGACACCCCCCTAGCGGGTCCTGACACCCCCCTAGCGGGTCCTGACACCCCCCTAGCGGGTCCTGACACCCCCCTAGCGGGTCCTGACACCCCCCTAGCGGGTCCTGACACCCCCCTAGCGGGTCCTGACACCCCCCTAGCGGGTCCTGACACCCCCCTAGCGGGTCCTGACACCCCCTAGCGGGTCCTGACACCCCCTAGCGGGTCCTGACACCCCCCTAGCGGGTCCTGACACCCCCCTAGCGGGTCCTGACACCCCCTAGCGGGTCCTGACACCCCCCTAGCGGGTCCTGACACCCCCCTAGCGGGTCCTGACACCCCCCTAGCGGGTCCTGACACCCCCCTAGCGGGTCCTGACACCCCCCTAGCGGGTCCTGACACCCCCCTAGCGGGTCCTGACACCCCCCTAGCGGGTCCTGACACCCCCCTAGCGGGTCCTGACACCCCCCTAGCGGGTCCTGACACCCCCTAGCGGGTCCTGACACCCCCCTAGCGGGTCCTGACACCCCCCTAGCGGGTCCTGACACCCCCCTAGCGGGTCCTGACACCCCCCCTAGCGGGTCCTGACACCCCCCCTAGCGGGTCCTGACACCCCCCCCTAGCGGGTCCTGACACCCCCCCCTAGCGGGTCCTGACACCCCCCCTAGCGGGTCCTGACAGCGGGTCCCCCCCCCCTAGCGGGTCCTGACACCCCCCCCTAGCGGGTCCTGACACCCCCCCCTAGCGGGTCCTGACACCCCCCCCTAGCGGGTCCTGACACCCCCCCCTAGCGGGTCCTGACACCCCCCCCTAGCGGGTCCTGACACCCCCCCCTAGCGGGTCCTGACACCCCCCCCTAGCGGGTCCTGACACCCACCCCTAGCGGGTCCTGACACCCCCCCCTAGCGGGTCCTGACACCCCCCCCTAGCGGGTCCTGACACCCCCCCTAGCGGGTCCTGACACCCCCCCCTAGCGGGTCCTGACACCCCCCCCTAGCGGGTCCTGACACCCCCCCCTAGGTGTCCTGACACCCCCCCCTAGCGGGTCCTGACACCCCCCCTAGCGGGTCCTGACACCCCCCCCTAGCGGGTCCTGACACCCCCCCCTAGCGGGTCCTGACACCCCCCTACCGGCACCCTGCCACCCCCCTACCGGCACCCTGCCACCCCCCTACCGGCACCCTGCCACCCCCCTACCGGCACCCTGACACCCCCCTACCGGCACCCTGACACCCCCCTACCGGCACCCTGACACCCCCCTACCGGCACCCTGACACCCCCCTACCGGCACCCTGACACCCCCTACCGGCACCCTGACACCCCCCTACCGGCACCCTGACACCCCCCTACCGGCACCCTGACACCCCCCTACCGGCACCCTGACACCCCCCTACCGGCACCCTGACACCCCCCTACCGGCACCCTGACACCCCCCTACCGGCACCCTGACACCCCCCTACCGGCACCCTGACACCCCCCTACCGGCACCCTGACACCCCCCTACCGGCACCCTGACACCCCCCTACCGGCACCCTGACACCCCCCTACCGGCACCCTGACACCCCCCTACCGGGTCCTGACACCCCCCTACCGGGTCCTGACACCCCCTACCGGGTCCTGACACTCCCTACCGGGTCCTGACACTCCCTACCAGGCCCAGACACCACCCCCTCCTAACACCAGGCCCAGACACCACCCCCTCCTAACACCAGGCCCAGACACCACCCCCTCCTAACACCAGGCCCAGACACCACCCCCTCCTAACACCAGGCCCAGACACCACCCCCTCCTAACACCAGGCCCAGACACCACCCCCTCCTAACACCAGGCCCAGACACCACCCCCTCCTAACACCAGGCCCAGACACCACCCCCTCCTAACACCAGGCCCAGACACCACCCCCTCCTAACACCAGGCCCAGACACCACCCCCTCCTAACACCAGGCCCAGACACCACCCCCTCCTAACACCAGGCCCAGACACCCCCCCTAACACCAGGCCCGAGTCTTAACACCACGAGGCCGCTGGTGTTGAAGATGGCGGCGCTCGCTGGCTGGAATTACTCACTTCCTGGTGTTAAAGTCTGGAGGACCTGCTGACAACCTTTGGAACTGCCTATGAAAATTTAGAAAATGAAAGCCTTGGAAATCCAAAACACAGGTGTTGGCAACACACAAACTACACCTGATTGCAGTGCAACAGCTGACAGTTGAGCAACAACCCGCTGAAGGCACCATGAAATCAGGTGTTGTCCCTTTCTGGAGAGGTGTTGCATGCCTCAGCAACCGCGAAGGGCGGGTGAATATGGCGCGCGGGAACCCTTCGTCCAGGTCCGCCAGGCAGACCAACAGTGTCTCATCCCTAGAGATGCGGCCATCTGGTCCTGATGGGCGACCGAGCCTTCTTCCTCTGGGTTCGACTCTCCCCGTGCAGGAGCCCGTTGGAAATTGGTGGGCTTGACGAGCTAAAGGTCAGCTGAATGGTGGGTTAGTGCGGTTGTACGGACCTCGTTATTACGGGCACTAGAGGGAGTACTTATCCCAGGATGTCCAGGAACACTGTGAAGTGTACACACAGACGGTTGGAACAAGTTAGGTGAGAAGGTGGTGGAGGCCAAGACCGTCAGTAGTTTCAAAGCGATATATGACAAAGAGTGCTGGGAAGACGGGACACCACGAGCGTAGCTCTCATCCTGTAACTACACTTAGGTAATTACACTGGTAAACTCTCACACGTCATGGCTACATATACCGTAAATACAAGAGACACATGATTAGCATAAATGGAGGAAAGTCAGAGTAAATGACTAACACAATTTCGATGCAACCAAAAAAAGCTACAAACCCAAAGTGGTCAAGCCGCTTTCGTTTTATCCCCCGCTTCCCATCCCCCCCTCCCACCTTCACCCGTCCCACCTTTACCCCCGTCCCTCTCTCTCTCTGTCCCATGTCCAACCTTTATTCCTGGTGGCCCACCTGCCCGGACCCCTTCCCATACCTACGGTCAAGACCATTCACATTCAATAGTTGCATGTGGAGTGTTTCCTGGCTCCGTCCTAGAGCCTCTCTTCACTATATACCTAAAAATATAATTTATTCACATAGACGAAGAGAGGAGGAAGGGAGGGAGGGAGGGAGGGACTTATCAGGGGAAGCGCCAAGCCATTATGACTATTTAGCATTTGGAAGGGATGACCATATGAATTAGGGATGGGACGGGGGTAAGGAATGGTGCCCAACCACATGGACAGTGGACACAGATGAAGAGTAATTAGTAAATTCACCGATGACAGTAACAGGACGGGTGACGGGTTGACACATACACCAACACTGCAGGGATGACGTAAATTAAAAATATATTGCAACTTGGCAGATACAGTAGCCAAGTGTATCTTAGCTCTTGGTAAGATCTAAGCTGAGGGAAACGGAGAGAGACTGAGCAGATATGCCCTAAATAACCACATTTATCTGAGAGCCACCATTTTTGTAGTGACCACGACAGGGACAGGAAGCTAGCGGCTTGTCAAACGTGCCTCCATTTTTACCTGAGAATTTTGTTTACAATAGCTTTACAATCCTATGGGTGAAAAACCTATCTCCTATTTTCTATCCTACATTGTGGCTTGTTGAGCTTGAAGCTGTTGCTCCTTGTTTGTGTTACATGTGACCTTTAAAGTAGGGGGTCTGGGTTAATATCCTCCAACTTGTTCAGTATGTTAAAAGTTGCTACCAGATCCGCCCTGTCATGTCTGGTTTATAATGTTATTCCTGTGGCCCCCAACCGTTGCTGCATGACAGTCAACTTGTTATTGGGGGGAATTATTGCATTGTACTTTCTCCAAAGCAGATGTCTCTTTCTAAGGACGAGGTCTCCATGCTTGGATACAGATACAAACTCTCACAAGTCGAGCCTGGCCTCGGGCCGGGCTTGGGGAGTAGAAGAACTCCCAGAACCCCATCAACCAGGTATCAACCAGTCCAAATGGGGGCCCAGAGATTTCTCCAGTTGAATAACCACTTTCTTTTTCTTGAAGTCAGAGGTTCGTTTGACTATTCCTAGGGTTTGGTTGACCTTTTTTTTGTTGTTACTGCAGCTCCCACTTGTGCAACTTTCAGTGGCTTACCTGTTTGAGCAGACTCAGGGAGTTGGACTCCCCAAGTCTGTCCTGGTGGCTTCTGAAATTGAAATTGAAATAAGTTTATTGAGGTAAAATACACACAAAGGGATGCGGTAGCTCAAGCTATTCTCAACCCGTTCAGTACATCGTGTTAATACATACATAGACACACATCACAAGCAATAAACGTATTACCGAACATTCTGAGAGATAAACATATACATTTTCCTCCTTTCCTTGGTGGCTTCTGGTCGTAGGACCCTTTTCTTTATGGGTCTGCTACATGGTCGTGTTGAATGGGTAGTTATGCACTGT